ATACCAAGAACAAAAGAAGAAGAGACGAAGCGAGAGAACAAGAGCAAACAAAATGCGAACATGGTATCTCTAGAAAACACAAAAAAGAAAAAGGCTGTGTACTCGTTACAAGGGTTGTCCTTTTGAAGTCGATGATCAACGCTCCATCCATCAACGGGCGAGCTTGGTGTTATGCGAAGAATCGAGCGCCACGACTCCGATGCCCAAAAAGGTACCAAGGTGTCATTCGTGGTAGAGCGACGCATGCAGAGACGCCAACCGAAATGGCGTCCAATGACAGAAGTCAGCCACACTTCGCTGAACAAGTAAGGCCATGCAGAGCCTCGGGACGACCACATTAGCGGGCAGGGGGGGCTCTAGACTACAGTGGCTGTCTGTGTTTCAGCTCACGTTGCTGTCATGACACTCAAGAGCTATGCAGTGTTCGGAAACCCGCCGCAATCAAGCTCCGTTTACTGTCTTTAACATCCGATGGCGCGCTCGAGTAAAAAAGACCCTGGATGAGAAAAGCATCAGCCATATGCTTTTGGACTGGAGAACGGCTCATCAAGCTGAGTGTCTGGGAGGAAAAAGTATGGTACTCCGTGGGAGCAGTGGCCAATAAAAGATCGGGAACTGTGGGAGCAACTTACACCGAGTCCCTTTTGCTTACAAAAAGTGGCCTTGGCCTTCACTGTATCCGGATTATCGTAAGTGACGAACCCACCGTCTCCGCCCACACACTGGGCGGCAACGGCCCGCTTGTCAACTTGTTCCTTCGTTCCTCGTCGTGGTAGCTGACAATACTCGAAGGATCCGTCGTCGCCGCCCCCGGCACCCTGAAATTTGTGGCCTGAGCCGCTCGCGTGAAGAAAGCTGCGGCCAAAGAGAGGGATTCCAAACAAGATTTTCTTGCCCGGGACAGCGGAAGCCATCAGATATTGCACACTCGACGCCCCTGATGCTTCTTCTTTATTCATTGCGTAGAGCTGGGAGTGATGCCCACTTCTGTGTGACCAAGACCCAAAATAGTCAAACGCCATCAAGTTAATGGAGTCCAAGTATTCAGCTGCCTGCCGCATATTGATATTCTGCAAGATGGACTTGGCCCCAGGGAGAGCAGCGGTGAGCAGGTAACGGTCCTCGGGAAGATGGACGCGGATCGCGGCCAGTAAAGATACGAAATCGCTTCCTTGTTGTGGGGAGCAGGGGTAGTCCCATACAACTGGTACTGTCAGTCAAACATCTCAACAACATCATTGGGGATTTGTACATGTGTGACGAGGCAAGAGTGGCTGGGCCTTCTCACGCGTACGTGGTCATTGGCTACGATACTGGGCGAGGCGAGATGAGGCGAAGGAGAAGGAGCCGTACTGTCTATTCCATCCAGGCCGGATGCTTCCACCAGGCCGCGAGCGGACTGTGCAAAGTTGTCACGGAGGATGGCGCTGGAAGCCACCAGTGCGAATGTCTCACTGGAAGCGCCGCCCCCAATGGATAAGACCACTTGCAGATGGGGATATTTCTGCTTGAGATGCATCAAGGACCCGAGAGCCCCTTGGACACCATCGCAAGGCGCTGTGACATCTGCCCACTCATCGCTGAGCTACCGAAACAAGTCAGCTGAAGTGCTTAACGATGGAAGATGGCGTCGGAACAAACTTACAAACACCCCTCCGTCTGCCATGATGTTGGCAAAGGCATAGTAAACACGGTTGATGCATCCATAGTTGAGTGAACCAGGAGTGTCACCTCGGTACACGCTGTGATTCGGCCAATATACGGCATTGTTGTAGAGAACGTTGGCCGCGCTTGTGATGCGCGACTTGCGAGAAACGGAGGGGAAGCTCATGGTCAATGCGGACTCTTCTACGCGTGATGATCAAGACCAGGTAGCGATTGAGGGATCGGGCAGGAGACGATGGAGGAGACGGATGGAGAACCCTCAAAACATGGAGAAGCGGACACGACCATGGCGCTCATTTATGAATACAAGAACTAGGGAAAAAGTACCGGAAACTTGATGAATGAGGCTTGTGCCAGCTCATTTTTGTTGGACCGATGTGTTTGAGATGCTGCTGGTCGGGCAGCAAGAACGGAAGAAGAGTGGCAGATTGCCCTGTTGTGCGTCTATATAACCAGGTACCCTTCTTCTGCTGGGACAGCTGGTTCCCAGACCTTGGGGTTCATGGGACGGTGAGCAAACCAAACAGACAACTTACCCATGGCAGTGGAGCAACGCGGATACCCGAGTTGGCTCAACGATCGGAATTCGCAAGCCCTAGTTGCTGCATGACATGACGTTGTCTGCGAGGGTGTATCGAGGAAAGGAAAGGATAAGCGGTACCTCTATGGGCACGCCAGAGATGCACCGCTGCGTATCCACAAGACCAGTGAAACACTTTACGAAAAGAGTGGGAAAAATGTAACGAGACTGCAGGCGGCTAACACTGAAGGTTCCAATGAGATGTAGAAGTCGGTGACCGGAATCTTTTGTGGTGGTTGGGTCGTAGTCAAGATTTCCTAGGGCTGACTTTTCCCGTCTAATTTCATGCCATTTTCACTGTCAACAAATCCTTGACCTGTGGCATTGGGAGACCTTGCCTTGACTCGGCCATTGGGCTTCAGTTTGCGAAACTAATCTGCACCTGGAGTCAGTTCTGAAGGGTTTCACATAAGTCCACGTCTTTGCAAGTTGAAGATTTGAGCTCGCGGGTGATGACTTTTGGTGATTTTCGCCCAACAAATTCTGAACCTGGATTGTGCTTAGCAGGGGCATATGGTAACTACCCTCTGTGTCATGGTCATCCTCGCATGTGGATATGATCAACTTCGGCCTGTTCTCCGGAGAACCCACCCCCAGATGTAGCACTCGCCAGCGGCAAAAGCAAATTTCCTGGATAGACCTGCGGGGCCCTCCCATGATCTCGGAAACTCGAGGGTCCATGAGCTGGGGCACCCGGCTGGCTCGCACTTGTCGTGTGTGAGGCGTGTATGGACAAAGATTCCGAAGAAACGAGGTGGCCGGTTGACGTCCGAGGGTGCTAGTGACTGGTTATCTGGTACACAGAAGGGGTTTTCGGAAGTTTTTACGGCATCAGCCTGCGACTATTCCAAACCTGGCCGTCGATTGTCGATCTATTAGCTGGGATCATGCGGTTGGGAAGACTGTGCTCCACGGCCATCGTGGGGAAGTTGGAAGCTTGATCTATTCTGAAGGAAGCGAACCTAGTGGAAGCCGTCGAGTGAGAGCTGGGTGCAAGGTTGAAGTGAGTGAAGCCTGACTTTGAGGCCCATCTGGGCGGGGAAGTTTGACACTCAGGCCAATCTTCCCCGCCCCAAGACAGAGAATTGAAATTGGAAGCGAGTTCTCATGGTGGCTTGGTCATAGCCTTGAAAGGGCAGGCGCGATGACATGATTGCGATCGTGGCATCCGTTCAATTCCTTGCGCTGGAAGGAGTGAACAGCACAAAGGTCACGACCAGGGTTAGAGGGGTGAGTTTGTCAAATGCGCCCAGTGTAAGTAGAGGTACTTACCCTTGCTGGTACCTCTTCTCCCTGTCTCGTTGCCACGTTCCTGGCCGTTGTGCAATGTCTCGACAACGGATCTTATGAGATGAGACACCCAACAGAGGCTAAGCTGAAGTAGGGGTATCTGCTCGAATTTGATGGCATTGCTGTTTCGAGAAATCATTAGTATTTTGGCGCCGGTTGAACGATGACGAGGAAGCCCAATTTGGACTGGAATGATGCAATGTCCTAAAACACACGGCCCAAGCAGTGTCTTCCACATGGCAGTTCCTGAGAGACCCTTCCATAGAGGTAGGTAACTTAGTCATCACTGGGCAGTAGAGGTAAAAGCCCCTGTCGTCAGTGAGGATTTTGTTAGGGTACAGCTAGTAGCGTTAGGTACCTGCCCGTACCTAACCCTGCCACTGGCCAGCTCCCGTCCATTTGGGCTTCTGTGCCTGCGATTTTCTACCACGCCAAGGAGCAGGGCATCATGAATACAGGTAGTAGGAACCTCAACCTCACACCCTCAACCTACCTTGACACAGCAAACACAAAGCCTCACTGCGTGTCCGACACTCTTGGTCTCAACGCCTTAACCTCCGATCTCTTTCTTTGTGTGCCCCCACGAAATCGATGTCCTCGCCATGTTGTGACGTGTTCCACGCCGCTCCTAAAACCCGAGTCACTTACACAAGGCTGCTGTTGATGCAGGTGCCCAATTCAACGCAAGTATTGGATACGGACAGCATTGCTTAATTCCATCCGCTTCGTGCGTGGCCACTTCTTGGGTCACTAGAGGACGCATCATGCAGTCAACTCAACAAATCGAAGCACACCCGCCGGCGTTCAGGAACCAGCCTAAAATGGCTTGCTGTCGACTGTCAAGCTTCAACCGTGGAGAGCTGTCATGTGTTCCTTCAGTCAGTGCAGCAACAGAGCTCAGGGAAACCCCCTTGTTCGGAGACAGAAAGTTGCATGCGACCTCTTGGTACTTGATGCTGCACCTCCAGTTACACAACCGCCAGCCGTGCCATGGTAAGCTCTTCTCAGCTGGTCGGTATTTCTCCGATGCGCCCTGCCCGAAACCGCGAGTGGTTATCATGGAAGTTCAAGAGCAGGAGTCCTCGAAGAGTGCCTCGTACGTCCATATGATGACTCCTATTGCGTCCAATTTCTCATGTGGCTTGCCGGCATGGAAAAAAGACCATCTGTAGCTGAAAGACATGCAGCGGGCGGGACCTTCCATGTTGCTTAGCGTGGAAGTCAAGCAGTCCTCTATTCTCGGTCCTTGTTGTCGAAAGTAGCATCTTCTCCACGCAAATGCCGTATCCATGCAGCGATTAGGAACTTGCCATTGCAGATCTGGAAGTGAGAAGCCATCCAGGTCTTCCTCCTCCAGTCTATGTTGGCTATGCATTTCGCTCGAAATGGCTTTCGCTGCGAGCCCAATAGCATTTCGGCTGAATACAGGACAAGCATGCCTATCCACGCCGCAAAGAGTTTGAGACCTTGCTAACGAGCAAGGAAGATTCCATTAGATCCTTGGAATCTTGGTGTCGTCTGTCGACAAGTTTCGGTCCAACGTGGCAGCACAGCCTTTCCCCAAGGAAGCCCGAGATTGGATCTCTTCGAAGTCCAGAACCGGAAGGCTGCATTTCACGAGATCGATTCAGGCAGCGCCTGTCCGCTGAATCCCGTATACAACAACCCACATGACCGGCGTCGCACGCGTAGCAGCTCTATCTTGACGGGCCATCTCTTGGGGAAGCACTGATCTCCTCCTCAGTCCATGCCCTCGCCCACGCCAACTCCACTTCAGACGGACGAACGAAGAAGAATCCTCATCAACGTGGTGGCGCTCGCTGCTAGTGCGTCGACATCTCGCATTGACGGACAGCCTATCATAGTGTAATAGTTTCATGATCTCAAAGGTCCGTGGAAGACAATGGTCGCTTAAGCACGTCGTATCCTTGCTTGGCCCGCCGCAAGAAGGCTCTAAAGTACGGTTAGAGATGTGTCTTGATGTACACCAAGGCGGTGAAGGAGCAGGTGCTCGATATCCTTGATACACTTACCTGGAGTATCCTGGCATGGTCCACGGACCATGCACTCTGAGCTGTACATACCTGTCTGGTATAGTCCATATGTTTTACCTACTAGTTCGCTGAGGTTAACGCGACAGCCCATATAATGCCGCCATAACAAGAAACGCTATTGATCAACCGAAAACGTGAGTAGTTTGCGAATACGATTTTGTTGGCAGGCTTGACGGAAGACCTCAACGAAAGATTATTCTCGCCAAACCGGCTATCGGCTGAGGGTCATTGAACCTTTAAGAATGCTGATTGCGCATCAAAGTAGGAGGTTTGAAGCGTTGAGTTTCTTTCATCCTCCAGAATAAGAGTGTAGGCAGAAGTGATGAAGTGTCTGCCATCTGAAGAAAGTTTGTTCGAAACCAGAGAAGAGGTTTAGGTTTGTCAAGGGATAGAGTGAGACGATTCGCCCTCGTCGATTAGTTTAGAAGGTACATGGATTTGGTTCGAAGCAGCAGCTAATCGACAGTGCCCTTGTCCCCATCACACACATGCGATAACAAAGCTACTGGACGAGCTGATAAGATGGAGAGGAAACGGTCAGGTGTCAGGTCATGTGGATGCCGAGAGCCCGATAGAACCTCAAAGAAGCGGATGGGCGTAAGAGCAGGAGCGTATCGAGGTGTCGCAGCTGACTGGAACTAGTAGGTGACAAGATAGTGGCTCACCATCTATAGTATGGCACGCAAAAGTTGCAATCAGACACCGTCGTATCATCCATCGATTCCATGTAGTGTATGTATACGCCTAGTGACCGGCGTTCGTGGGAAAGCTGAAGTACTAAGGTACTGTAGCATGCACTTGGTAGGGTTAGGGGAGGAGTCGTGTTGGACGACAGAAGTGAAGCCTAAAAAGGCAAGAACCTCGGTGCTTGTAGTGGGGTCTGCTGCCTGCCGTGGATGGACTCTCTTAATGCCATGCCACCCACCTGCCACTGTTGGCGGCAGCGCTTATCGGCCTCCGCCTGTGACCTTCCAACATTACAACAACTCAATTACTTTGGCTCCCAACACAAACACTTTTTCGTAGCATCACCATTCCTCGTCTTTCACCAGCACACGAAGCTCTCGTAATTCCATACGAACGCCTTTGCAGCAGGCTTTCACATAATCCCATCACGAAGTGCTGAACTCGAACGAGGGGCGATCGGAGCTCCCCTGAGACTAACGTCATCATCCACGACCGCCATTAACCGTTTCATTGCCGATCGTAAAGCCGACAGAAATCATGGCTGAGGCTTCAAATCCTGGCGGCGATGGCCAGATTACCTTCAAAGTAAAATGCTCAGGCGACAAGAACCACACAGTCACCATTGCCGAGTCTGCGACCGTCCTTCAGCTCAAGACCCTGTTAGCGGGGGAGGAATACGAGAACATCTCGCCGGAGCAGCAACGCCTCATCTACTCCGGAAAGGTCATGAAGGACGATGAAGTTCTCAGTTTCTACAAGATCAAGCACATGAACACAGTGCACATGGTTAAGCGTCCAGCCAGCGCCGCGACAGCCAGCAGTGGCTCAACCTCGACACCCGCTCAGCCCGCGATACCTCAGAACATGGCTGCCGGCACTCCCTCGAATAACCTTTTAGCTGGCCTCACGGGCGCTCGCTTTGCCGGTCAGGTGCCGCTACCAAGCCGAGACCTGTTTGGGCCGGACGGAGGAGTAAGCCACCCCTTTCTCGGCCCCCTTGACCATTTACATACCTGTTTACTAATGATGTTTTACAGATGGGCGCGCCTCCTAGCGAGGATGAAATCGCGAACATGCTCTCGAACCCAGCGATGGCCCAAGTCATGGCCGAGGCGTTTAACAACCCCGCCGTCATTGACCAGATGATTGCCTCCAACCCGATGTTGGCCAACATGCCCGCTGATCGCGCTCGCGAGCTTCTCAACTCTCCGATGATGCGCAACATGATGACGAACCCGGAGGCACTTCGCATGGCGGCACGCATGCGTAGGATGATGGGCGGAGGCGCCAACGCCTTTCCAGCGCCCGGGGTAACGGACAACACTCCGAACGCGACGACCGGTGCCGGTAATAACAACGCGAATGCCGATGCGCAGAACCCGTTCGCCATGTTTCTTCCATTTGGTGTTCCTCCGGCGGGCGCTCCCCCAGCAGGTAATCCCTTTGCCGCGCTCTTTGGAAACCCCGCGGGGGCTTCGCCTGCGTCTACCGGAGCTTCGACCGAGAATGCCAGGAGCGGGGATGCCGCATCTGCTCCGGCTACTGGCGCTACTTCGGGGTCTGGGCAGCAAGCAGACCCGTTGGCATCTTTGTTCGGAGCGCTTGGAGGTGCTGGTCAGCCTGGTCAGGCTGGTGCCGCGAACCCTTTTGGTCTGCCCCCTATCTCGCCTGAGGCCTTGCAGCAGATGATGCAGGCATTTGGTGGCGGTGGTTTGGGTGGTTTTGGCGGAAATCCCGTTGCTCCTCCCGACAACAGGCCGCCAGAGGAGAGGTATGCTGAGCAGCTGCGTCAACTCAACGATATGGGCTTCTTCGATTTTGATCGGAACGTTGCTGCACTACGCCGCAGCGGTGGTAGCGTACAGGGTGCTATCGAACACCTTCTGGGCGGTTCTTAACTTGAATTTCTTTACTAGACGGTGCAGAGATGTGGACCGGAGATTGACAGTCATCTGCTGTTCCTCAAGGATACGGCGGTATTCACAATGAACAACAGCATGTCGAGGGGATAGAGGATTGAAGGATGTCCAGGGAGTGCAGTGTTATCTTCTGGCGAGGTCATTGTTGGGCCGTGCTAGACATTTGATTGAGAAATATCTAGTGATAATGGTTGCTAAGGAGGAAGATGGACAGTCCAGCACAGAGACGATGCTCAAAACAACACCCCTTCAGCGGGTGTCCTCACGTAGGGAGGTTTACATGTTTACAGTTTAGCGATCTTAATCAAACATGTCTCCTCTTGCTTGAATCGACAAGGTTCTTTTGTCCTCTAAGAAGACGAGTTCGCATACAGTAGCCGGGCTAACTATCAACACCACTAATCAATTCTTATTTTCATGCTGTCATTCCCTCTACCGATAAAGCACCGTCAAATCCCCAGCCGGCACCGGAAAGTTCCTCAATTTATCCATAATCTCCGCGTCCGTCATGTTCCTCTCCGTCATGATCTGATCAAAACAATGTCGTCCATCCATATACTTTTGCAACGGATCCCCACTAGCCTTCATCATCATCGCCATCTTCTTGTTGTTCGACCCCTTTCCCCCCGGACCCCCATGACTCCCGGGTTCACGGTAGGTATCATAATGTCCGCCCGGCACCGCCACTTTATGTTCCCTCCCCATTTCCCCTTCGCCATACCCCCTCCCACTTTTCCCTCTTCCTGTGCCAGTTCCGGTATCGGATGGCGAAACAGGCCTAGCCAACCCCGTAGCTAGCGCAGCCAAATACTGTTTTGAGATAACATACTTGTGCACCCTGTACAAACACCCCTTGATGACGCCAAATTGAACTAAGCGGCGAACGTCTACGTATCGCAGGACGTCGAAACCGGAGTCCATATGGCCCTTGAGCCATTCGGCCACGGTTTTGCCGACGCAAAAGGTGGTCATTAGGCGGATTAGCATGTAGTTGGATATGCGGTATCCGTTGGGTGGTGGGGGCTTGTTAGACGGTGGGGAGGAGGAGGTGTGGATGTTGGAGGAGGGGTTGCGGGGGGAGGTGGAGGGCTTGCGTTCATGAACGGGGGAGAGGTGGTGTTGGGCATAAGGGCTGGGATCGCGGTCGGAACCACCTCCTGGGCCAAGGCCAAAGGGGGAGAGGTGGCTGTGGCGTGTGCTGGCAGAGGTGGAGAGGTTGGAGGGATTGTGGTTGTGGAAAGTGGTGCTTCCAGATACAGAACGGAGACGGTGGTAGTTGTCGGAGGAAGAAGAAGAAGAAGGTCCGGCGCCGGTGCCGGTGTTGTTGCTGCTGGGAGACGGATCGATGGGTCCGACGCAGACGTAGTTAGCACATTCGTCGACCATGCCGCCTACGTTGGCGATGAAGTCGTGGATCCCCGGGCGAGGGGCGTAGCACGCGCCGAACAAGAACATGTCTAGGAGCAGGATGGTGTCGTAGTAGAGCAGGTGGCGAAGGGCGAGCTGGGTCAGCTCGAGGGAGACGCCGGAGGCCAGAGCAATGCGGCGCACGTCGGAAACGCCATCGATATGGGCGACGACGCGCTGCAGGGTTAGATCCCAGGTTGGGTCGACGACGTCGGCGAACTTCATTTTGGCGACGGGGACGTGCCAGCCTTTGACTTCAGGGGGGTTGACGTGGTGAGGAAAGAGTTTCATGTTGATTGTGTTAGCGTCGTCTATTTTGAAACGGTCAGCATTGTTTGTGACTGGGGTGATGAAGGGGGGTGAATAGGTAGGGAGATATACCAATGGGAATCATGCACTCTCCATAGTTATTCAGATCCTCCTTCACAATCTCCAGCAACGATTCTATCGGCCGCCGCATACTCACCATCTCATTCCCGTCCCCGTCCACCCAACGGCCGCCGCCATTGCCATATCCATGAACTGCGACCGCTCCGCCCCTCGTGGCCGCGTCCTGGCTCAGGTAGCCGTCCTGCTTCTCCATCTCGGCAAAGGTGGCCGCCAGCCTCCTTACGACGCGTTCATAGGGGATCTGGTCCACCACGTCGCAACTGATGACGAGCCCGAAGTTGAAAATGAACTCGTTCCGGTCGTACCGCGGGTCCGGAATGGAGACGGGGTATCCCAGGATGACGTACTTGCCGTCCGGGTCATTGACGGTGATGAAGCGGTTGCAGAAGGCCTTGCGCGGGATGATGTACTCCTGGAGCACGCTGAAGTCGAAGAGACATGGTTTCCTGTTGAGGGGACCATTGGTGCCTTCTGGAAGTGGAACTGGCACGATTGAGCCCGGTGGACTTTGTGCGACGATTTTGGTTCCTGAGTTAGGGAAAAGTGCCACTGGTTAGCTTGAGATTCACTACACTTCGTCTTTGGGCTGTCTTGGCCAGACCCAATAAAAATGGGTGGGCAAATGACTTTGATGAGTGACGGGCAAGGCAGGCTATATGTACCCTCTTTTGGAAAGAACCTGGCATAGAAAATTGCTTGAATCATAATTTAGATAATTGTTGTCGAAACCCAGGGTCTTCTTGATGTTGGGAAAAGCGACTTTGGATTTGACGCCGAGACGAGTATTATGGTCTCATCCGTTGCCGGCGCTCATTTCTATCGGTTGGTTCTACCGAGTAGCGTATAGATGTCATCCGAATCCGAAGTAGAATGAATTTGCTATTGAGAACAATGATCAGACACTTTGCAAACCAAAGATGACGAAAGCATAGTAGTCGTCGCCGTGGTCGTTTTGCCAGAAGTTGTCACGTATTGTGATTTGTCTTGGGAAAGGTGCCTTGGTGCTACGAGGTCAATGGCTGCTAGTGAATACCTCACGGATAACCCTAACCCCACCCACAAAAACAGAGAACCATAACCCCTTTTCGACTTCAGCATCGGAGGACCCAGGAATGAAAGCTAACTATCCGTGTATTTCAGAATATTTGCTTGACAAACATTATTCTGAAAATACCATATTGTCGTTTGTGCCTGCCATGTTGCGGAGCTCCACGGCCTTGACTATGATGTCCAAAAATCGGGTATTTTCATGCTTCTATCTTACAAGATATGTACGGGGAGTAACGCTTTTGTCCAACCAATCCAACCTTTATGCCTTTTCTCTGTGCCACCCTACCATGCGAATAGATCCTTACACATTCTCTACCACTTATACGGATCCCTGTCATCTTGAGTCTGCTTCTTCACCCCATCTCCCCGCACAGAGGGTTTTTCGTCCATCATGCCATCAATCGTCTTTACTGAGGCAATCATCTCCTGCTTAAGCTTGGTCTCCATATCCTTCTTTTGCCTGCTCTTTTCCTCAGGGAATATAATCTGCTGGCCCTGCTGCTTCTCCTGCGAACTCTTTTGCAGCTCGTTCACAGCATTCTTAGCCTCTTCAGGGGTCAACTTCTTCTCTTTGAGGTTCTTCATAATCTCATTCAGTTTCCTGACAGCGCCGGTAAAGCTCTGTCCGGGGTACGTCTGGCCCGAAGCAGCATACTCGACGTCGCTGACCATCTGGATTACACGCACGTTATGCTTGCCCTTGCGGAGGATTAGCAGGTTGCCGTTAATCAGGTAGCGCTGGGTCTCGCCGGGGAACCACAGCTTGACGGGCATAAAAGAGATGAGGTCCGGGTTCATGGTGACGTTCTCGCCGCCGGCTCTGTGCGCTCCGCCGACGTAGCAGCCCTGGGCAGCCGCGAGCTTGTGGCCCTCGGTGGTGCTGCTGGCGAGACCGGCGGCGTAGAGGATGCGGCCGATAGACTTGCCCATGATGAGCGACTCGGGGAGAATCATGTCGATACGGGGCGCGTTGTTGAGGGTGACAGGCTGGTCTGAAATCGTCTTGTACTGATCGCCACCGGTGGCTGCGTCCTTGGCACGAGAGACTTGGGGAATGGTCATCTGGCCGGTATACATCATGCGATGCTGTTCCTCGGCGGCGCTGGCCTCCTGTTTACCGTGGACCAGCGTCACAACCTCACGCGCAAGGGTATGTTGCGCGACACGCTTGCTAGGGTCTTTGGCGTGCTCCTCCATAGTCTTGGTAATTTCGCTGATGGGCATAAAAGTGAAGAGCTTGAGGAGATTCCCAACCTCTTGGTCGGATCGGCGGACAAAGTAACCGTAGAAATCGAAGACGGAGGTCTGATAGGGGTCAAGCCAAATGGCGTTACCTGCACTCTTACCAAACTTGGCACCGGACGAATCGGTCAAGAGAGGTACGGTGAAGCCGACGCATTCGTCAAGGGCAGTCTTGGGCGTAACATATTTGCGCTCCTGCGGGTCGGGCTCGGATTCTCGGGCGGCCTTGACGACTTCGAGACCAGATATGATGTTACCGTACTGATCAGAACCTCCAATCTGCATCTGAACTCCCTGCTGGTAGAACAACTCGAACCAATCCCAGCCCTGCATGATGGGGTAGGTGAACTCGGCAAAAGACACGCCGTCTCCCTGGGTCATCTTGTTCTTGACGGTATCGCGCGACAGCATGGGGCCGATGCGCAAGGCGTGACCTACCCTCCTCAGAACCTCGAGCATGGGCTGCTTGTTCCACCAATGGTTGTTGTTGACGATGCCTCGCTTCCGCGCCCAATCGGCTTCGTAACCACGCGCTCGCATCTGAGTGTCCACGTTCTCCCACAGCTTTTTGAGTTGGTAGTGAATCTTGGTCATGTTCATTGTCGCATCACTGCTGCTCAAATGATCTCTGCTTTTTAGCCTGCCTGTCGGGTCTCCAATCTTTGCCGTCGAGCCGCCAATGAGGGTGAATGCCTTGTATCCTTCCAAGTACATCCAGAAGAGCGGCATCAGGGGGAGTAGATGGCCGACGTGTAGTGATGGTGCGGTGGGATCAATGCCGACATATGCGCCAATTCGTCTCGTTCTCATAAGCTCGGCGATGTGCTCTTTGGTGCTGGTAGAAGAATCGTGTTAGTCATGTTCATGTGCGCATCGAAGGGCCAGTGTCTAAACTTACCCAGCTGTATCCTTGACATAGCCTCTCTCCTCAAACAGGTCCCATGTATTCTGCTTCTTGCCCTTCTTGATGGCCTCTGCCCTCGCCTGCCAGTTTTCCTCGGCCTCATTGATCTTGGCCGTGTACTTTGGTCCGAATTCGCGCCTGAGTCCTCTTCGTTGGAGAATGAAGCATGATGGGTTAGCCGCAGCATACTTGGCGATACTCCCGCCGGAGCGTATTAGGGCTTTTGTGCGAAGCAGCATTTGATGTGATGTTTGGCTGCGTATCGCTCAACGGCTAGAAGAAGGAAGGAGAGGGAACTGGGCGCGATCCGTAGCGCAACCCAAAGCGCCGATTCCGGCCCTCTTTTTGCGATCCGATCGACCGAAATTGGGTCCCTTGATGGGCAATTGCAAAGGTTTGGTTATGATTCCAAGGGCGCGGTAGTAAATTGGTCGGGATTCCCAGGCGGTAGGGTTTCCGGCTGAAGATCCGGGGTCGCCTGGTGTGAGGGGATCAGAGGTCGGCTGGTGTTGAGGTAGGTTGGGAGTGTACAAGCGGCGATGATAGCTTCGGCCAGTCATTAAGGTACCGGCGAACTACGGCGCCATCGAAAAAAAAAAAATAATGGCCCCTCGTCCCAACCCGGGTGCAGCGAAGGTCTCGCTAGGTATCTTATCGCCCCAACTAACGCGCTGCCGTACCTATCATTACGCGCTAGCATCTCCGACTGCGAAATAATTTCTGGAACGGCGGAGGGGAGCTTGGGCCACCCCTGTTGCTGCCGGGTCGGGTTTGGCGGGGGGACAGGGCCCTTGGATTGCATGTGCAACCCACTGGATGCAGCAAGATCCGGTACGTACCAATCTCCAAGCTACGGCCACGCCGGGAACAATGGGATTTTCCACGCCGAGCGACGACCGGCACACGCTGCCGCTGACATCTTCTATGCTGCGATTGGCCGAGTATTGCCGAGGGATAAGCTACATCAGGACTCGCAGCTCGGCACCAGTCCGTTCCACTCCGGAGCCCGCCCGTCCCGTGTCACTCCCAGCGCTCCTAGCGATCCGCGGCCACGATCCTGTCCTGAACCAACCGAAAGACCCGTGCGACGATATCTCCTGCGAAGACCGCCCTCCCGTTCTCGAAAGCCCAATTGGTTGTCCGCCATCACCACCACGCTTCGACCACATCACCACCCAACACCCGTCATCACCACCACAATCACCAGAAACAATGGCTTCCGTCGCCCGTTCCTCTGCCCTCCTCAAGCAGGTTGCGGCCAAGCAGTCCGTTGCCGCCAACGGTCTCCGTGTTGCCGCCTTCCACACCACCTCCCGCAAGAGCTTGCTCCCCCCTCCTCCTCGTACGTAATCGCATACACTTGCACTCGGACCTGAATACAGGTTCAACGTATGTTGCATGGATCGGTATATGGGCTAACACTATGAGGGGGACAGAGCGCATTGAGGGTACAGGTACGAACAACAACCCAACAGCTATGCTTCCTTGCTCGTCATGAGCCAAACAACCCCCATGCCGGGTTGCGAGAAGCGCATCCACCACAACACCTCGACATCACATGCATGCAAACAATAGCTTAACACCTACCTTTAGTGAACGACCCCGTCGAGGTCCCCCCTCCCTCTCCTTCTCATGGCTCCTACCACTGGACTTTCGATCGTGTTGTCGCCGCCGGTCTCATTCCCTTGACCGTCGCTCCCTTCGCCGCCGGCTCTCTTAACCCCACCATGGACGCCGTCCTCGCCGCCACCATCCTTATCCACTCCCACACTGGCTTCGGCAACATCATTGTCGACTACGTTCCCTCGAAGCGCGTCCCCAAGGCCCGCAAGGTCTTTACCTGGGGTCTTAACGCCGCTACCGTCCTCGTTGGCCTTGCCCTTTACGAGTTCGAGACCACCGATGTCGGTCTTACTGAGACCATCAAGCGCGTCTGGAAGGCTTGAGCGACTCTTTGCGACAATTATCGTTGCGAGGACCGGTTGGAAAGATGAGGGCTGTTTGATGTGCATTGGGAACTACCGAAACTCCTAAGGCCTCCTACTTTTTTTTTGGATGGAGCAAAGGCCGGAATGACGGGAATAGGTGAGGGAGGGCACCTTCAAGAGGAACAGAAAGGGGTGGAAGAAGTTCTGTTTTGTCATACCTCACGGCGTAAAAAGAATATACCTTTCTGTTTTGTCTCCATGCGGCCTTCTTTTTTTTCTGCGCTGTTCAGGGGCCCATGGTGCGCAGACGGTCTAGATTGGATTTAGTTCTCGAGTTTGGATTGCTCGTCAGATGTGACACCGGGAAGAGGTTGGTTATGGGGGCACGAAGAGGGGCTGCTAGTACAGGAGCAATCTAAACGCGCAAGTGCGGTTTCCCTTGGTGGCTTCAAGATCGCATTGAAGTCGGTGGATTGCCCCTGAATGGAGTTGTGCCTTTCAAGTGGATGATCATGGTTTGGGGCTGGCGGGAAGCGAACACTGACAAGTTGGTTTCAGGCACGGTCGTTGTAGTGTTCTTACAACGAATCGAAAACAGATGAAGAGGCACTGGCGGTTGATCAAGTTATATCACTCGCTTTTCCTGATTATGGAACTAAAGCTACCTCAGGGTGATGCTGGTCGAGTAAGGTACAGTATCTTATCTGACCCTTCTCAGTTACCTAGATACCTAACAATGACGATGGGAATGTTTGACTAATCAAGGAAAATGGCGAATGGACTGCTATGGCCTTGCTCGTGCGTCCTCGGCATTTGCCTGCCCGGCCTTATGGAAACTTTTTTTTCTGCGAGTTGTTCTTCTGGCCGACTGGAGTCTCCTATTCCCTCATCTCTTCACTTTCATTTCAGCTTCACCCTAACTAGCACACAACGTGGGGCACCTCGAAGACAATCCAGCCCCAGCATACAATATAGCCTTCTCACAGCTATGCTTGACTGCAAAAGCATATTTTTTTCAGGCATCCAACTCGGTCACTCGAGTTCAACCTCACTTGACGGCAAGGGATCCGGTCCCTTGAAGCATAGTAATTGGTCGTCTGCTCACCAACACTGATTACTGAGCTCACATAAGCGCTGATATACTTCTAGCCACTCCTTCCTAGTGATCAAACCAGCTGCAAAAGACATTCCAGCCAGGTTTTGGATGGCCTATGCAACCCTTTGCGGAACTGGCGCGAACCGCTCAGCCCAATCTTCCATGCGGCCAGAAGTACCCGAACTACATCACCCGAGTTTCGAAATCCAGCAATGGCCATGGCGCGCAATAAGTATCGGAGAAACCAGCATGCGATTTGCTCGACTCCCCAGTTGACGCCTACCAATTGTGCATAAAAAAAGCCGGCTGAATGGTTGAGTGGCAAAAAAAGAATATTCAATGCCGTATTCTGGCCAGGAGAGGCAGTCTCGCGCTAAATAGGGTTATCCAACTTATTACCTAGGGCCAAAATATCTAAGCTGAGTCCACCAACTCCTCAAGATCCTCCATCTTTTCCAAGATCCAACAACTAGCATACATATTAACCCTGTCAATACACTCCTGATCCCCCCTTCCAGATTCACGACAACCCACCCTCCTTGCTCCAAACCCCTCCTCCACAAAAACCCTCACATACCACGGCTCCACTCCCGCGCTCCTCAACAACACTTTTCCACCCACCTTCAACGCCCGATTCAACCTCCTCACTTGCTCCCTCGCCTTGCCCCTTCCTTCCTTTTCCTCCTCAGGCGAAGGTGGATCAAACCAATCCATACTATCCATCACCACCGCCACTGTCAAAGTACCCGGCTGAAACCTAGCCAACACCTCCTGTATTTCATCCGTGTGGATGCGTAAGCCGTCAAAGGCTCCGGGAGCGCTAAGTATAGAGTGGGCGGCAGGAGAAAGGTAATCGGGATGGCACTGGCGTGTGTATTGACCCAGGAGACAGACGAGGTAGTAAGGGTTGTCAGAGGCAAGGTGGGAGGTGGAGAGAACAGGGTCAAGGGTGGAGGTTGTGTAGTGAAGGATTGCTTCGGCGCGGCTTGGTTTTGCTTTGCTGGGACTGGTGGAGGAGGTAGAACGGCGGTGGTAGTCGGCTTCGATCATAGCCACTTGATTCTTGGGCACGCCCAAAGCTGACCAGAGGAAGGCGTCAGAGCTGAGGACTAGGCCGTTGACGAAGCGGTTGAGCAGACAGGGACGAATCTTGGTGTGGTAGATGGAACGTTGCCCTTCGAGGGTGGGAGTGGAGAGGAGTCGACGGACCGCAGAGCGGCAGAAGAAGAGTGTGGAAATCCAGCGGAAGAAACGGATAGCGTATCGGGAGCCGCCGGTATCGTAGAGACCGCGCCCCGTAGGGTTAGTAAATATGTGCGCATTGGATAGCCAGTATTGAAACGCGCGGCCGGAGAGGTGAGGGGAGAGTTTGGAGATGAGCAGTGAGCGAAAGTCGGGGTGTTTGCCCTCACCGAAGATCTTCCAGACGTCGGGGTAGTCCAGAGCCGTAAAAGAGGCGACTTTGAGTTCAAGCAGGTGGTTTTGGGCTGGGTTAAGATCGATGGCGTGCACGCGAGCGGGACTTTGCATCAGGTAGGAAAGAATGTTGTCGCCGGCGCTGGTGATGGCTAGGACGACGTCGTCGGGCCCGAGGTTAAGGAGTTCTCTGTCGACGCGCGAGTCTTCCCAGGTAAAGGCGTAGATGTACTCATTGTTGAACTGGGTGTGCTTCGGGAGTTGGTCGTCGTAGTAGATCCTCCAGTGGTGATTTTGGTAGAAGAAGGAGGGGAGAGGTAGGTTGGCCGAGATGTTCTCGATGGCCGTGTTGAAGGCCTTTGAGCGCATCTCCGGCGCTGTGCGACCGACTGCAAAGGCTAGCGCATTTGTTGCTGAGGAAGAATGTTTGCCCACTAGACGGGGTGATGATCTTGGGGACTCTGTCGCGATGGCATCGATGTGTTCCACAATTTCGTGTGGTAGACTCGACGTAGAAAAGGGCTTCTTGAGGCATCCCAGCCAGATGTAGTAAGGAATTGCTCCCAGTGTGTTGTTGCGGGCGTTGACGGTCAGGACAGTTCCGAACCTGTACTCGAGATAATCTCGACGAGCTGGCTCAAGAGACACCCTATCAGCATCGAACCACGAGCGCCAGAAGTTCCGCCTGAAATAGCCAACGTGTCGGTTCACAAGACCGCCCGTGTAGTTGCGGAAAGTGAAGTCGACTTTCGACTGGGCGTAAAAGTCCACGACGGCAATCAAGCCGTGAGGTGCTAACAGAGACTCGAGCGAATCGATGATCGAGAAATAATCCGGCTATATCATCATGATATGTCAGCACACACCACCCCAAGACGTCCTTAATCAAGAAAACATACCATCATCGAAAGGCTATAAGACATGGTGATCAACTCAGCCCCCGCATGTCGTCCCGGCTTCGTCTCCTCCCACCAACTCGACAAAGAAGGCGAAGAAGGTCCAGAGCCAGACTCTCCTTCGTCAACATCCTCATAATCCTCAAGCCTAAACTTCCGAGCATCCGTGCAGATAACTCTCACATTCTCCCACCCCAGCCTGGCAAACCGCTTCCTAGCCACTTCACAAAGTGACGGCGAAAAATCCACTAGGTAAACGGCTTTGAAGAATTCAGAGACGTTGACAAATTTGGCCATGGCTTCGATATTCCAGCCTGTGCCCCCACCGACCTGTTTTGTAGCGATGGTCAGCCGTATGTGAGATTTCAAGATTGGCAAGGGTTCTGATGAGGAGGCGTACATCTACCCATATCGGTTTCCTCCTTGTCCCGGTCCCTGTCCCGGTCACGGTTACACATGTCTTCCCATTCCTTTGTTCTTTTTCAAGCCCATCTCCAGCTCCAAGTCCGCCAAGTCCAGCCTCAACCTTGTACCTCAACTGCGAAGCTACAAGAGCCAACATATCCTCCCTCCCCTTCAGTAGCGTGCCCCTTGTCGCATCATAAATGTCTGCTTGACTTCCGTAAAACGACTCCAGGGCATCTTGCTGTGTTCCTGTGGTGCCGGCGGTGGCGTGAGGCTTGATAAAGCAGGAGTAGCAGAAGAGGAGGAGGGATTTGAGGGAGCTTGGGTTGCTGTCGTCCTCATTGTCGTCCTCGTTTTTGGTTGTCTTCCGCGAATAGTTGCTGGTGGTGACGAGAAAAGCCAAGACGGCCACACCGGTGAAGAAGATGGATTTGGTAGTGGTGGTGTTGAGGTTGAGGTCTGCTAGTGTCCGGGTTACTGAAAGTGATGGTAGCGAAATGTTACCCATGTGACCACCATGAGAAGCCATGGCACTGTTTTCTCCCATTGCTATAAGGTGTTGGTGTCAAGTAAGAGATGAGAGGATCCGACGGTCTGTTCAAGAACCGAAGGAAGAGAGAAAGAAGTTGGATTGAGGTTAGTCTTTAAGACCGATAGTTATATCTTTTCTCTCTCATATAAACCCGTATGTACATCTATAGAAGCTTCAATAGCGAGCGTTGTAAAAGAAGTTCCCCACCTCCACACTCCGCTTTTGCGTGAGATCCGAACGGGAATGGGTGGCCAGCGCTCGGCCCCCAGTAACACAGGGTTCTGTGATCCACATGTCTGGTTCTCTGTTCGTCATTCTGCGTCGTGGTCCTCAGATTCAGGCACGCCCATGGTCGGTTGGAGATTGGCGATTTTGACCTGGCGATTTCGAAAAAGAAACGTACGGAATATCTTGCGGGTGTAAAAGAGGGGATTGAAACCATGGGGTAGGGTGGTTCTGTAATCGCCAATCAACCGCCCACATGGCCCATGGTCGATCGCTGATTATCTTGGGGGCATCATCGCCAGTTTGGATAGACTTTCGAGTGTTAAACTTTAGATCCTGGGGGGCTGTTCCCAAGTACAAGCGCCATCTAAGTTCACAAGCTTGCCCGAACCGTTTCCTCTGGCTTGACTACTTTACGGTTTTGCCAAAGTTTTAGGCCTCTCGTAAT